TGGAGAGTTAAGATTTCTTTCCTTTGAGCAAAACTTGCAGAAGTAATGACCTAAGGATATTCACCAAACTCACATTTCCAGGCACAGGCTGGCTTCAGGCCAATGCTTCCCAACTTTGGGGTGTGGACTTGCATTTCAGGAGCTGCCTTTTGCAAGGGTGATGGTGGTGGTGGTGGTGATGATGGTGATGGTGATGGTGGTGATGATGGTGATGGTGGTGGTGGTGGTGATAATGGTGATGGTAGTGGTGGTGGTGGTGGTAATGATGGCGGTAGTGGTGGTGAAGATAATGGTGGTGGTGGTGGTGATAATGGTGATGGTGGTGGTGATGGTGATAATGGTGGTGGTGGTGGTGCTGATGATGGTGGTGATGGTGGTGGTGGTAATGACGATGATGATGGTGGTGATGGTGGTGGTGGTGGTGATGATGGTGATGGTGATGGTGGTGGTGGTGGTGATGCTGGTGGTGGTGGTGATAATGGTGGTGGCGATGGTGGTGATGATGGTGATGGTGGTGGTGGTAATGACGATGATGATGGTGGTGATGGTGGTGGTGGTGGTGATGATGGTGATGGTGATGGTGGTGATGATGGTGATGGTGGTGGTGGTGGTGATGCTGGTGGTGGTGGTGATAATGGTGGTGGCGATGGTGGTGCTGATGGTGGTGGTGGTGGTGGTGATGATGATGGTGATGGTGATGGTGATGGCGGTAGTAGTGGTGATGATGGTGATGGTGATAATGGTGGTGGTGGTGGTGATAATTGTGGTGATGGTGATGGTGGTGGTGGTGGTGGTGGTGATAATGGTGGTGGTGGTGATAATGGTGGTGGTGGTGGTGCTGATGATGGTGATGATGATTGTGGTAGTGGCCTCATTACTGCATGTGTTGGAACAGAGCTGGGACTAGAATGTCCCAGTGTCCCAGTTCCCAGTGCAGCCACCTCCAAACCTGGAGTCTCCAATCAAGCTGAGGCCACTCAGCATGTCCAAGACACCCACTCCATGTCTCAGGCTGTGGCTGTACCATTTCAGAGGCAAGAGACATCAGGACAATCCTGCAGCACTTGGCCATGGGCAGCCACAAGATGGAACATATTGGGTCCAACTTCCTCAACTCTCCCCTGTCGAACTACAGAATTTTCAAAGTTTTTCAAGGAGGTAGACATTTTTTCTTTCTTTTCTTTTCTTTCTTTTTTTTTTTTTTTTTTTTTACTCAGTTAAGTCCTGCTGTGTAAAGAGATAGATTTTTGTCTCCTTTTCTCTTTTTGTTTTAGCTAAAATCACCCTTGATAAAGTTTGATGTTTTAAGGATCAAGGGAAAACTCCTATATCCTCTGAGGTTTGCTGAAAAACCATTTGACAAAAGGCTGATTAATAGGAGAAAAAGGCATACAAATTTATTTTAAAGTGCATAGCATGGGGGAATTGCAGAAGAACTACTCAATAACGCAGTGGGGTCTAGACGCTTATCTAACTTTCTTCATAAGAGAGGGAGGAGGTGGGGAATATAGGTAATTCTTTTTAGGGGCAATGAATGAGTATTAGGGAGAATGAATGGACCTGGGGGACAAAAACTAAGTTGTAAATGATTCTCTTTGGAATTGAATGAGCCTGAGAGACAGACATTATCTTGTGAAAAGGTCTAACCAGGTATGGGATTTCAGGGAATGAATGGAAAGCAATTGCTGTCTGTGGTGGATCCAGTCTTTAGGCAGAGAAGTGAAAAGCCTCATCCAGCATCTGCTTGTCTCCAAAATATTCATTATACTAAAGTGCCATATCTTGGGGTAAAATTAATTTGTTTTGTTTTTAAAGGTAAAACAATGGAGAGTTAAGATTTCTTTCCTTTGAGCAAAACTTGCAGAAGTAATGACCTAAGGATATTCACCAAACTCACATTTCCAGGCACAGGCTGGCTTTAGGCCAATGCTTCCCAACTTTGGGGTGTGGACTTGCATTTCAGGAGCTGCCTTTTGCAAGTTTGGTTCCATGGTCCAGTGCATTTAGGAACTGCTGCCCTCTGTGTCCTCTTTTGAAGATTCGTGAAACCCATGAAAAGATGTTCAGAACAAATAGTCATTGGGGAAACACAAATCAAAACCACAATAGATAATTTTACACCCACTGAGATGGTTGTAGTAAAAAAGACAGACAATAATAAGGGATGGCAAGAATGTAGGGAAATTGGAACTCATGTACATTGCTGGTGGAAATGTAAAATCATGCAGTTGCTTTGGAAAAGAGTCTGGCAGTTCCTCTGAAAGCTAAATGCAGAATTACTATATGACCCAGCAATTCCACTCCTCTGTATAGACCCAAGAGAACTGAAAACATATGATCAAATAAAACTTGCTCATGAATGTTGATAAGAATGCTATTTATGATAGCCAAAAAGTGGGAACAACCCAAATGTCCATCAGTGCATACATGCAATAATGTGGATGAACTTGAAAACATTAAGTTAAATGAAAGAAGCCAGTCGCAAAAGGTCACACAGTAAATGATTCCATCTATGTGAAATGTCCAGAATAGGCAAATCTATAGAGGCAGGAGGTAAATTATTAGTTTTCAGGGGCTAGGAAGGAAGGGGATGGGAAATGGCTGCAAACAGCATGAGGTGTTTTGGGTGGTGATGGAAATGTTCTGCGGTGATATGGGGACGGCTGCACAACTCTATACTAAAAACTCTGTACAAATTGTTTACTTAAAGTGGGTGAATTTTATACTATACAAATTATATCTCAATACAGATTTCTTTAAGTCTTCAAGAAACCCTCTGGTAAAGAAATCAGCCTAACCCAGCCCTGAACTCATCTGACCATCAAAGCTTTTCCTCACATTTGGCACCCTGAGAAACTGGTATTCTGGAGAGCATGTTTTAGGAAAAACTGCTTTAGACCATAGGAGTTTGGCAAGAGGAACTTTGTTTCTGTGAACACATATTTGGCATGTCAGGGTACACCCTTTTATATTTTATTTATATTTGATGTGTCTATGTCTTGTCTTCTTGGTGGCTTTATAAGCATTTTGGGGAGGGGAAGTATGATTTTGTCTCTTTGAATTCCTACTTCTCACCACCCATAATGTGGTGCACACATAAATATCTGTAAATATGCAGTTAGAACTTTGCATCACTAATGAGTTAATTAAACTAGTCAACAAAGCCAAAAATACGTATTAAGTGCCTTCAAGTGCCAGGCATAGTTTTTGGCACTGGGGATATAAAAATGAGGGAGCTTATGGTCTAGTCTGAGACCAGGCCAGGAGCCGTGCAGTAGAGACACTTCTCCCTGGTGTGTCTGAAATCACGTACTAGGATATGACCCTTTTAAACCATGCCTGTGGTGTCACTGCTGTGGGCAGCGGTGGTGATGTCAATGTTTGCTCTTCTCGGGCTCCCTCCATGCCACTGAAAACATGGAAATGCTTTTACCTGTCCAGAAGGAGGGACAGCTGAAAGAAGGAGGGAAGAGGGTGGTCCAGCGCAGGCGCAGCCTGTTTGGAACCTTCTGCGCCTGCACTGGACCACCCTCTTCCCTTCTTCCTCCTTCCTTCGGGTGCCCCTCCTTCTGGACGGGTAAAAGCTTCTCCCATCTCCTCCTGGACTTTCTCATAGCTATAGGCTTCCATGTTCCCAACCTCTATTATTCAGAGGAGTTCAGCTCAGCCACGTCTGTGCCAGAGCTTTGACGCCCCACCTATCAGCCACACAAAGGGCCCTGACATGAATAAGACCTCCCTCACTGAGGATCCTTACTTTTTTAAAAATTATTACGCCTCTGCCATAAAGTCAGTGTCCTGGCTGCCAGCCACCAGGCAGAATCTACTAGACTTCTCTAAAATAGATACTGGGGCCTCCTTCCTCAATCATGGTCAAGACCTAAGCTTCCTTCTCAAAGGCAGGCAGTCCTGGGTTTTATGGCAAGAAGTGCTTCCTATGTGCAAGGTGCTCTGGGGAAGGGCTGAGTGTGGAGGGTCGCGTGTGAAGGTCTTTAGGATTTCAACTGAGCTGCCTTTTCTTGCAGTTTAAGAAGAAAACAGCCAGCCGTTCCCTCCTTGTAATAAATGTCTCTGCATATTGGAAGACAGTAGTTAGGTCATTCTTGAGCTTTCTCATCTCCAAACAAAACTGTGGCCCCTGTAACCTTTCCTTTAGCAAATTGTAAGGCCCATATGCAGAGGAAAAGCAAAACAAAACCATCTGATGAGGAGGGCCTCCTATCTCTAACCAAGTGTCTATTTTCAAACGCGGTCTGCACTCGAGTCTTTAATTACATGTAAATTCGGTAGCTTCAAGTGTCTGAGCCAGTGGGAGACCAGGTGCTGCTCATCAGGCCCCTTGGACGTACTCATGTTGCAAGGCTGGGTGATAGTGCTTGGCAGAGGCTAGGATTTCTTCTCTTCGCATTCATTTTGGGCCATGAAAATGGCCATCCGTGAGTGACCCAGGAGCACAATCAGCTGATGCTTCCTGCCCAGGTCCCCTGAGAGTAGGATGGGCCCCAACAGCCTTCAGAGAGCTGGCAGCCTGCTGGGAAGGCTGCCCTTGGCCTCCACAGAAGCCAGCAAGAGTGGCTTCTAGATGTCCCTGGTGGAGGCTGGTAGCCTTATCCTGCAGCCAGTGGCTTCCAGATGTCCCTGGTGGAGGCTGGTAGTCTCATCCTGCAGCCAGTGGCTTCCAGGGCAGGCTTCCTGATGCTGCTAACTCAGAGAGAGGTGCCCTGCTGAGCGCCTGCCCTCGGTGGTGGGGGTTGGGGGAGATGGGTTCTGATCACATCACGTTTCTTCCCATGGTTCTAACTCCTTTCCCACGTTTGCAGTGTGTTATCTTGGTGATACAGACAAGAGGCAAGGAAATACTGGGTAAAGAGCCCTTAAATTTGTGGTCCTGGAAGCTATTGTAAAGGTAAGATTTTTTTTTTCTCCCCAAGTCCTACCCATCCTGAATCTTCAAGTTTGCAGGGTCTCTAATAATCTCTCCTCCTCTTCTTTGAGATAATCTCCCTCACTCTCCACTCTCCAACGTGGCACCCGTAAAGTCTCTTCCAGGGATCTGGGGCTGCATTCCAGGGTCTCTTTGCTCTGAGCTGTCTGAGGCCTCAGACTGTCGTAGTAAATCAAACGGCAGGGATCTTCTCTAATATCATCCTTCTTCCTTCTGCTTTCCTACGAGGGCTGCAATTCAACGTGTGTGTAGAGGACTCTGCGTGCAGGGTCTCAAGGAAATTTCCAATTTGATGCAGATGAAGAAGGGAGAGAGAGACTAAAAATTGCTTGATGGCCACCATGTGCCACGTGCTCCCAACACAGTCTCAAACTCATGACATCTCCCAGCCAACGGATTCACCCCCTTAACCAGTTCCACCTGGAGCTCCATCTCCCAGACACACAAAGGCCATGTTGGGGGGCTTTGGAGTCAGCTGCCTGCCGTTCCATCTCAGATGTTACCGTGGGAAAGTCGTTTAACCTCTTTGAGCCTCAGTTCCTTCACATGTAAAATGGACCTATACGTTTCTCACATAGGGTCGCCCTGGGGCCAGGATTGCCAGATAAAATATAGAATGCCTGGTATAAAAGTTGTATGGGACATACTTATGCTAAATATGTTTCCCAAATTGTTATAGCTCTAAAATATTATGGCTCCAAATCAAATGTCTGAACTCTATGAAACAGAGCAAAAACCACAAACACAAAGAAGTAATAGCGTCAAGAGAAAAGAGCATACACTCGGAGAGCAGACATCCAGGAACACCATCTCTGCTTTGTGTAAGCCAGGCTGTCACTCTGATAATTAAATGATGCTGTGCCTCGCTGACTCCTCTGTGCCATAGGGACCTAAAGAAAGGCCCTACCTCCCTCACGTGGCACAACTAAGTACTTTGAAAACATTAAAAGCATGAAAACAGTATGTTTTACTCTCTATTTATCCAGGATGGGCCAGGAGCAGTGACTCACAACTGTAATCCCAGCACTTTGGGAGGCTGAGGTGGGCAGATCACTTGAGGTCAGGAGTTCAAGACCAGCCTGGCCAATATGGCAAACCCTGTTTCTACTAAAAGTACAAAAATTAGCTGGGTGTGGTGGCAGGCTTCTATAATTTCAGCTCCTTGGGAGGCTGAGGCAGGAGAATTGCTTGAACCTGGAAGGCAGAGGTTGCAGTGAGCTGAGATCGCACCGCTGCACTCCAGCCTGGGTGACAGAGAAAGACTCCATCTCAAAATAAATACATATATATAATATGTATTTAAGTAATTATATATATAATAAGTTATATATATAATTGTGTATATATAAAATATAATAAATATAATATGTATTTAATAAATTAAATTAATATAATTTAATAATATGTATTTATATAAATATAAATACCCAGGATGTGTGTAGTGATACGCCAGTAAGTTCACAGGGTGTCACTTTACATCCCTCCCTCCTGCACCAAAAAGCAAACTCATCCATTTAAGAGCACTCAAGACTGTATGAAATCTTTACAGAAAAATCTAACCTGTTCCTTCTAATCATCAGGACTGCACTGAAACCATCATGGAGATTGGCATCTTTTTCTATTTCTGAAGACCTCTGGGGAGGCAGATTCTACAAACTGCCTTGCAGCTGACGTGCTAGCACAATGTAAGCTAACTGATACAGTCAGAGCCAAGGAGGGCCTCCAGAATGCAGTCCAGCATGGTGTGCACTCATGGAGCCCTGACATATGGCTAAGGAACATTGTGAAAACTCAGGCCATCCCTCTCATCACTCCTCTTCCTTTTAATTGCAATTGACCCTTCAGAAATCAAGTATATTAAGGGGGAGGGAAAAGAAGAATTTGTGCTAGTAAGACATTCTGAAGAATGTAAAATAAATAATACCAAGCTCACAGAAATAGAATAGGCAGAAAGAAGGGGATGAAGAGGTAGAGGGAAGCATTTTTCCTCCTAGTACATAGTAGGTCCTCAGTAAACATTTGTTAAATGAATGCATTCTTAGCAAGGACAATTTCCTTATCCATATTAATCAGAAATGTTTTCTTGATACACTATTTGGAAGTGACCATACTACAGCTGATTTAATGGTAAAGCCATCAAGTCTGCATTTCATCCTTCTACCTGGTTACTGTCTCCAAGAATCTGTTCTCTATCAACACAGCAAGACCCTTGACTTAGAGCGCCTCATATCCACAGCAGGAATAAAAGGAGAGGAGAAATAGGAAAGAAAATCAGCCTAACCTTCCTTATCTAGCCCTTTTCTAATTCATCCAGGTACCTTTTCCAATTCTTCACAAAGACACTATGTAAGTTGTCAGAAGATTTAGCTGGGTTACACCTCTACGTTTCCAGGATTTGAAGAGTTATGTCAATATAGAGACCAATTTCTGGACCCTGAATAGCAAATCCGAAATCACTCTAAACTGGTGATTGTCAATCAGGATGGTTTTGCTCCTAGGGGACATTTGGCATCACCTAGAGACATTTTTTAACATTGTCACAACTGGCGGTTCTTATTGGCACTTAGTGGGTAGGGGCCAGGGATGCTGCTAAAGTACCTGTAATACACAGGACAGTGGCCCACAACAAAGAATCATCTCAGTATCTCAGCAAAGAATCATGTCAATATTGCCACAATTGAGAAGCGCTGTGCTAGATTCAAATCTCCTCTACAGTGTCTTCTCAGACCAAAGGCTTACCTGTGACAACTTATAGTAACCTATCTGCTTTGATGTCCACTCCTTAATTTACCAAGTCAATAGATCCACCAAATTTGGTACAACAGATGTACCAAATGCCTATAGCTCTCTACCAGGCATGCAAGCAAGGAAAAAGCAACAACTTTCCTCAAAATAAAACCATAGAAGTTAGTTAGAAAAGAAAGTGCAAAACAGAGAGTATCTTCTTAAAGAAATAAAGCAAACAAAAAATCCAGAAGGTAGCCAAGCACAGAAATGAACATAGTGTTTCTGTCATTTCTGAGGAAATGAGTTAGAATTATGATGGCTCAAGTCTCCTGGGTTCAATCTGAAGTCTTTTTTCTTTTTTTAGGGAAGCTAATAGACAAAAAATTGAGAAAGAATGGGTGGAGGCAGTTTGGTTTAGTATGTTCTCTGCAACACTGTTGCGTTTTCCCCATAGAAAGACTTTACAAATGGTAGTTCAGTTCCAGGTAGGCCCAGAAGAGCTTACTGAACCATAGTCCAGCTGAGGTGCCAAAACCACAGGAGTCTGGGGATACACAAGCCCTGAGCTTCCTTGGAAGAAAGAAGGACAAAGAGATTATCTGTTTCTTCTCTCCTCAGACTCTCTAAGTCCCCTGCTCTACACCACCTCTCTCAGAGGTAAGAGTAATCCTAGAACACCTTTAACTAGTTTTTTTGTTCTAATTTATAAGTAAAGTACATACAAATTAAAAATCTGGTCCTGGAAAAGAAA